AGTGATTGGTTGATTAATCAGTTATTCATCTGACAGAAAATTAATGAACCATTTTTATCATTTAATAACTTTAGTCATTGAAAAAAATTACAAATAAAACAATTTAATTACAATATTAAAAAACAATGGGAACATTTTTGCTTGAAACATTTCACAGTTAACTGTTTAGTGCACCTGTTACCCGTTAATTCACTAATCATCAGCTAACTAATTGTTTCTGCTCTATCAATTTGACCTCTTCAGGCCTGTAAAAATATCAGTTAACCTATTTATCCACACAGACGCATCTAGCTCTGACAGGGTGGGCTCAGCAGCAGGACAAACTGACCATATGTTACAGACAGCTTCTTTTATCTGATAACCACCTGATCATTTTGAAATATCCAGCCTGCAGAAGACTGTCACTAAATGTTGCTTACTGTGGGCCACACTTTCTCACCCTTATGACCTTATATCCAACAACACAGAAGCAGTCTCTGAAGAAACTATTTTTTTGTATATGCGCCAGGCGAGTAATTTTCAGTAGAACGAATGGGAGCCATTTTGTAATCTAGTATCCAGCTCTCATTAAGCAGTCTATGCTCTAGACACGTCTACCCCATCCTGGTAATGATTTTTAAGTAAAACTGAAATTTTTTAAAACCAGAAACATGCCTCTCTCTCATCATCTAGAGCATATTTAATTGAACCGCTGGCTCTGCTGAATATGAAGGGGTAAAATATCACAGACGGATGCATACAGACATCTGGCTTGTCTGGCTAGTTAGCCATGTTGGCTGCATTCCCTCTCTCATTATGTCAAAGATAAAATAAATGTAAAGGAGTGCTAACACACAGCTCTCTAAAACCCTTTGACAGGTATCATTCAGCCACACTGTGCTCTAGTGGCTGAGCCTGGGGGCACTGTGTGTTTTACCTCATCAATGTTGCGAAGCCATTTGCTGATGTTTTCGAAGCTCTTGGCATTGGTGATGTCGTAGACCAGCATGATGCCCATGGCTCCTCTGTAGTAGGAGGTGGTGATGGTGTGGAACCGTTCCTGGCCTGCTGTGTCCCTAAACACACACAAACAAGAGATTAGTTTGTATTTGCGGTTTTCTTGTCTTAAAAAAAAAAAAATAAATAAAACTCTTGAGACCCAGAGAAACAATTATTTTAAAAACCTGTACTCCACTTAAAAAGCCTGCTGAGCCATTGAGCTAGGGACACACACACACACACACACACACACACACACTAAAATCCACCACAGGCTAAACATGACCCTCACATACAGTCGTGAAAAAATTAGGACACCCTTTGAAAGCATGTGTATTTTGTAACATGTTTTAATATATGGTTATTTATTTAATGTACACCCTATTAAAATGTGATTTGAGCCATTTTAAGAGGGCATACATGTGAGGGTGTGCTATCTTTTTCCTCAGAATAGGCATTTTTGTAGAATTACATTTACAGAAGATCTTGAAAACAATTTTCTTCAGTTTTACTTGTTTAGTTGTATTCCTTAAATCTCTGTATTGTTAAAATTGAGATTAAATAACCATATATTAAAACATGTTACAAAATACACATGCTTTCAAAGGGTGTCCTAATTTTTTCACATGACTGTATCTACACTAGCATGCACCTCAGCTTGACATTTTACTACTGAGGGATAGCCTGCCAACATCCATCCGTCACTGCTGAAAAAGCAGCCCAGGAGCACCAAACCTACACATACAAAGGTTTTCATACCATAGTCTTTAAAACTTACTCTACCCAATTTAATTTCAACCCAGAGGGTCTAGTGTAACATCTTCCAATATCTCGTTTTATCCAGCCAACAGTGTCCTGACATTTGAGAGTTTGTAATCGGCAGATATTTAGCATTTTACTTTACAAATGACCAAAACAATTGTTCAGAAAAATATAACCATTAATTTTCTGCAGATTGATTGAGTACCTGCTGCAGCCCTATATACTTTCTTATTAAATGGATTAAAATGTTCAGTATTCGTGTGATAAAGTGCTGCTATTTCGTGTTTTGTAAAATAAAATGTTTAAAAACCGTTTTATTTCCGCTGGGGAAAATCAGCTGTTGCAGCACACCCCCTGATGGACTGATACCATCTCCTGTTCCAACACATTTCTGGGCTGGAGGGAAGTATGTCACACAGATGTTTCACTGTGATGTAACAAGACTCAAGCAGAACAGGTCACACTGAAATATGAATCTCACAGTCACTTCTGCTTGAATACAAGTACATACAGAGCCTTCCTTGGCATGGGTCCACAAATGAAAACGCACATCTCCGACTCACCAGATCTGTAGTTTGATCTTCTTTCCTTGTAATTCAACTGTTTTAATCTTGAAGTCTATTCCTGTAAATAAAAAACAAACATATTATAATAGCATACATCTATAAAGTGTATATATAAAAGGAGGCTTACAAACAGATTTTGGCACTGATGCAAACAGAGAGAAATAAAAACCCAGTGAGGAAAACTGATACAACTAGAGATTAAAAAGGACATTCAAGAGAGCAAAATGGAAAGTGAATGACAACTGTTTCCAGAAAGACAAACATTCTTTCTTCCTGATTCTACAGTGTCATGCTCAGACCTATCGGCAGCAGCTGAGTAACAATGGGTACAGACACCAGGTTACTGGAAGAAATCCGGCAGGGAACTACGTTTCTATGCACTGCAATAACCTACTGTAGACTCAATCCATTAATCAATTATCTAAGTAGTTGCTGTTTAACTTATCTATACCGCTTATTCCTGAATAGGGTCATGGGAAGGCTGTCCCAGCTGACATTGGGTGAGAAGCGGGAGAATAGGAGGTACAACCTGGACAGATCACAAGTCTATTACAGGTAATCAAGATTAGCTTTGTCATAACAGTAAAAGTACAGAGATGGCCAGTTATAATATGCAGTTCATCACCCATTTTCACTTTTGGCCAACAAGCATAGTTCCTGTTAACTACCAAGCTGTCAGCTCTGCTGTGGTCAGAAAGTGTGGTTTTGTTTTAAAATGTACAAGAAACAGCTGTAGTTTAGGCGGGGCGGAGCCGCAGAATAATGAAGAAACATGCTGCCAAAGGGGTGACTCACTAAACATTATGCACACCCCAGAGAGAGGGCGGGACAGAAAGAAAGATATAGCTGGACAGGAAGAGACAATGAGAAAGAAGAGAAACAAATCTGGTGTATTAAACACATAAGTTTGCCTACATTTATGTCTCCAAAATATACATGGCTGCAGTGAATATTGGGGACAGTACTGATGTAAAGGACGATGAGGTTTCCTGATGGCTCTTGAAATTATACTTGTCGGGGATGATGTAATATTTGTGTTCCCAATGCAGAGTGTAAAAACAGACTCTGGTCGTTTTCCCTAGTGAGGTGCTCGGGCAAGTTGGCAAGAAAATATGTGCACTGTGCAATCACGTGACATTTACCCAATCAAAGGAAAATAGGCACGCTTCACCAGCAGAAAATGACACTGAACTGGAAGTCTTAAACAGAAAGCACGTGGTTTATGGTCAGCTTTCTTTTTAATACCCAAGAAACCGTGCCTTCCGTAATTCCACTGCAGCCATTTGTCAGTTTCCATGCTAAATTCATGATGTGTTGTGGAAATAGATTTCAGATTGCAACATTATGCATATTCAATACTTTTAATGTATGTAACCTCTAATATACAAATGGGAAGGGGCCGATGGAGGGAGACTCAGAGGCCTGGAAATGAGGATGAGTGACTGATGAGAGAGGGGGGTTTTCCAGTAAGGGTATTTTGAGAAGCAGCTGTGCATCCGTGTCTCCAAAGGTATGAGAACTGTGTCAGAAGAAGAACATACTCCTGTTTCACATGTCCTGGTTTTGCTGTTTCTTCCAGACTTTCCGGTTTAGGTTTGTACCAGCATCTGAACGTGCATCATATGCAGGGCCTTATTGTGAAAGTAACGGGTAAATTTTTTATATTTTTTGTCATCTCAGACTTTTATGTATAAAGTCATTCTGGAAAGCACTGTCATATCTTTTGCTGTATTTTCGTACTGTTTTGTCTGCAACCTTTTACGCTGCTGCTCTGGCAAAATCTCTTGCATAAAGGTTTTCAACCTCTCGTTCTCTTGCTACTACATTGCATCTTGCTACTTTGTTTTGAATACAAAGTCAAGATTAGCAGCAGCTTGTAATAGGGTGACAACTATGTTTTAAGGGAACAATTCTTAAAGTGAACATGAGAAAACTTGTGTCAGCTTGTGCCTGCTAATGACCGTATTGTACCAGTGTCTCGACTTGCCACAGGTCTTGACACCAAAGTGAAGTGAGTGTTGTGAGCAGTTTCAGCTCAAGCTCAGTGAGTGTCCTCATTTCAAGTCAGTAGAAATAACAGAAAAATTTTGCCCCATATTTTCAGATAACAACATAGAGTAAACTGCATTTTTATAATATGGATACCAACATAAACGCATTATTCTCAGTGTGAAACAGCTTTGGCTCTTTTTTGTGGGCAGACAATATGTTGAATAGATTTTTTTAATGTAAAGAAAGAAAACACCACTTATAGTTGTTGCTAATGCATAACAGGGTTTGACTTACTACCCAAACAGGCAGGGAAAGCACCCCGACAAGGAGCAAACGCCAATGCTGTTCTAGGACTGTCGGTCTGGACTACTGCTGCCCTGCATCACACCAACATCCCACATCTTTCCCCTGAGCTAGCAGAGACCTGATCAGGTGGCTTTAACTCATAGAAGGAAAATAATCACTACAATTGTTTTTAATTTGACAACACAGACTATGGCTACCATTTAAGAAACAACACAAACACTGACCAACTGCAAGACAACATAAATACAGAATGTACAAAACTATGAACAAATACAGAAACATACATGTGACCGCAAGCTTTGCAACAGGGTGACAGTTCATAGTTGTACCCCAACAAATCTAATCTATCCTGAATGCCACTAGGAACACTGCTGCCCATTACGATTGTTTTCTCTTAGGTACACAGTCAGGAGTTGTCAGCACTTAGGTTACGAAAAAATGGGCTCAATTCAGCGTTCAAGAATATAATGGCAGCGCAGTCATCTTCATGTGGCTCAGAAAAACACATCTAATGTTACGTTATTATGCAGCACCGACCTTGAGCAATGGGAGTAAAAGGAGCCTTCACTTAGGCCATGCAGGGATTTGACATAGTTTTGACACCTGACTCATGTGATCATGATGTTGGAACCATGCATAGTGGATAGAGAAAAGCTGATGATGCCACTATGAATGGTGTATGGCTATAATTTCAGCATTCATATAAAGTTACTTAAACTCCAGAACTTAAATATAAATTTGAAGTACTTGTGCTTGAGTATTTTTCAGTACATGTTTCTGCTCCTTCATACTTCAAAGAGAGATACTCCACTACAACAGCTATAGTTGCATTACAGATTCCGATTTACATAAAAGGCCATCAGGGCTGCAACTAATGAGTCTTCCTTATTGATTAATCTGATTATTTTCTCAATTGATCAATTACTTCTTTTGTCTGTGGAATGCAAGCCCAAGGTGGCATCTCAAAATTGCTTCAATTGTCCATCAGTCCAAAACTCAGATATTTCATCAATTGATTTAATAAGACAAGCCTGAACATCACTATGTAAAGTAGTATAAACAGCTTCAGGTTCAACATTCACATGCTGCTTACACATTAATGCAGCAATGATTATATTCAAATAACAGTATATAACTGCATAATGAGCACTTTTCCAAAGTGCTACTAGTATTTGTGTGTGTTTAATTAGAAAAAGCAATGCAATATAGACTATTCATGACAACTTCAAGTACGTCTAACAAAACAATATCTAATATATCAGCCTTTGAGCGGCTTTATTTGTGTGGCAATCACTTTGAACAAACAACCTAAGATCTGGTACCTTTAAGGTGTAATTCATGACACATCTGTACAGTTATATACGTTGATATTGATATTAACAGCAGCACGGCCTTGTGCTGGTGTTAGCCTAGTTAGCTCACTAGTCACTGGATCAACTGACAGTAATGTCGCTGGCGCCTAAACCACTTATTTTGCCGTTACAGGCAAGCTACACCTAGATGATAATCATGTTTTGTTATTAGAGTCAGATTCATTTGAATATTAGTCGACGGGGGTTTAACTAAGGGCTCATAAAGCTGCATAACTATCAAGCTTTCCAGCTACCCTATGCAGGCCCGGAGAGCCGATCCATACTGATAGCATACTAGCTAACCAAATATGTCCTGCCTAGCATTTCCAGCTCCGGGATAATGTCAAAAGAGTCTCCCAGCTGTAAAACTAGCTCCGAATGGTGTTCACCAAAATCGGACGCATCCGTGACAGTACATCATCCGGTACCGGTGTCCACTGGGCTTCTTACCTATGGTGGAGATGAAGGTTGTGTTGAAGGCGTCGTCAGAGAAGCGGAACAACACACAGGTCTTCCCCACGCCCGAGTCCCCGATCAGAAGCAGCTTGAACAGCAGGTCGTACGTCTTCTTCGCCATTGAAAAACAGCTTGTGTTCACGCAGATAGATACAAAAATGATAACCTAGCACGCCTGTGGGAAGTCTAAAGCCAGTTCCTTAGCCAACCTGACCAGCTGCTCCGCTGCTCTTCACTGTTAACAATCTGAGATTTGTTGGTTAGCTTGGCAAGCTAGTTGGCTAAATACCACCCAAATAAAGTGTCCGCAGACGTATCCGATAAATTATATTTCCCAAGCCCGACTTTTCCCCCCCTACAGCATGAGAACAGAAAGCAAAAATAGGATCTCCTCCCGTGTGATTCCTCTTTTCCACTCTTTCTTTTCTCCCACACAGTCGGGACAAAATGGCTCCTCTCTCTCTTCAAACTAGCGGCGAGCTAATTCAAATTCTCGGCACACCCCGTCATTCCAGAGCCCTAATACAAGCTCGACCGAGAAGAATTTGGAAAGGATCTCAACGTAAAGGTGTGTCAAATTTACTCTCTGTCTGGAGATATTTCGTTGTTTTCTGTAGAGATTAGAACCGAAATATAGACGACCACGGTCGCCTTCGAATGAGAGCCACCGCGGTGACACCCTAAACATTTAGACACGCCCTTCCCCCGCCCCTTTGCCAATATTATTGCTGTGATTGGCTGATGTTACTGCCATTCCTTTAAATCCCCCAATGTGATTGGTATCTTCGCAAACAACGAGAGCTAAAAGGGCGTGCTTTAGAGTGACAGAAAGGGCAAATGTTGCTGCGTAAGTTGCTCGGACATTTAGGCTCAAATTCCCCTTTACTTCAGCATATGAAATGTGTCTAGTGATCCAATATGGCAGGTAGTTTCATGCGGACCTGTATGTGTTTCTGTTTTTCAGGCAAGCTGGCATTTGATGCGGTGACTGCCCAGCTGTGTTAGGCAAAGTGATGTCAAGTTCTTCTGTGTTTGTTACGGGCGTTTCCTACATCCTCTGCATTTATCCTCTAAATCGTTTAATCACTCTACACTGCAGTTTCGTGGCGCTCTGCAATGTCTTTGTGCTATGTACAAGGCCAGTAAAGTTCTTTGAACTGAAATACAAAACTGTTTTGCGTGTGTGTTCTTGTAATTGCTACATAGTGAGGACCAAAAAAGTGTTTTTGCTACAGAGCGAGGACATTTTTGGAAGCTGGAGACATTTTGGCTGGTCCTCACTTTCTGAAACAGCCTTTTGAGAGTAAAGACTTGGTTATAGGGTTCAGGTTAGGATTAGGCTTAGGTTAAGGTTAGGCACTTAGTTCTGATGGTTTAGTTTAGTTTAGGGTAAGGGTCTAGAGAATACATTATATCAATGAGTGTCCTCACAAAGATAGAAGTACGTGTGTGTGTGTGTGTGTTACTCTTATCGTCTTCCGCTTGTCAGACACTCCCTAGGAATGCTGAGGAACCCTGCTGTCTACTGCCAAGTACAGACTTGATACAAAGAAAGACACAAAGAAAAGAGCCAGCCCAAGAAAAGGAAGTCGGAGAAAAGTAAAAACCTAAGGGTTTGCAGTCAACCTGGCGGTTCTCTGCTGTAATGCTCATTATAAAGAACCCCCACTGTTACTAAAAGGTTTGGACAAACTGAAATTTTGATCTTATGATGGCAAGCTAGACCCATAAACAAATAGATTATTTTTTTTGTTTACATAATTTAATTAGGACTACCAGTTATTTTCTATAACAATCAACTGATTGCTCATTTAATAAAATGTCAGGAAATAGTGAAAAATGTTCATCATTACTACCTGAAACCAAGCGTTGAATAGAAAACCCTGAGTTTACTGTTAGGGAAAATCAAGGAAAATAGCAAATATTCACATTTCAGACCGGGAACAAGTGAATTCATGGCTTTTTTGCCCCATTAAAAACTTTGGTGGTTAATCAATTCTAAAACTTGGCAGTTAATTTCATGTGCCACTCATCTACATTTGTGTAAATTAAATTAGCTCAGTTTTTACCAACTGCAACAATAAAGTAATGCATCCATAAGTGCTTTAAATATATAACAGACAGAGAGATTAAAACAGTGCAAGCAGTAATCTGCTTCTCATTTGCAATTTTTGTTACACTAGCAAATCATGTCTTAAAACAGAAATCTTTCCAGATCAGGGTGCATTCCTTGATTATGCTGTGTAAGGCCCCACTGTTCAGCTCACATTACTAACAAGCAACTACTCAAATTTCTACACTGTTCTGGCAGTAATAGTTATGCACATTTAAGGGAGGAATGCTGTCACGTGTGCACCTGCTTGACAAGTAAATGTTTTTAGGTGTTTTTGGAGCATTTCTGTCTTTAATTCTCACTGAGTGGATAAGAGGTGACAGGAAACGGGGGAATAACTGAGCAACAGTATATCATATGCATGTTGAGGCCACCAGGATACCCAAACCTTTTGTTTTGCTTAGAAAAATGCTCAAGATTCTAGATTAGATTCATTATTACCAACTGTTTTAATCACCTGTGCAGCTTTTTATTTTAGGCCCATCATTCACAGTCACATTTATTGGTTTGACAGACAAATATTTATGGCATCCTGTTTTCAAAGCACATGACATCACGCATGGAAAGTCAGACTTCACTGGAAGTGACTCATAGAAGGTGAAACAATCACCTGAGTCAAGGGGAATTTATAGGTACTCATGGGTAATTTTTCAGTTCTGCGCCATAAAACGTAAGCAAACTCTGCACAAGTCCACTTTGAGTTAGTAGATACTGTGGCCAGATTTTAAACACTGTGTAGTGGTTTGTATCTTCTTCCATGTAACAGAAATAATTTGCTGAATTCCCCATGGCTGAGCCTTTCCCCTTTGAGGTCTTTCAAGCCTACATCAGCAGTAATCCATTAAACAACACTGAGGATGTCACAGCTAGGAAGAGGTTATATGGAAATGTGGTTAGTTTTATGGGGAATCATCCGGAAAACCCAACAGTGTCACCTCTCACATTACACCTGAAAACAGTCATATGAATCTCCTGACCTCCTTCGGTCGCACGTTCCACAATTATTTCATCAGGTGGTGCTATTGTGTCATAACTGAGTGTAGGTTGTAAATAATGCATTTTGAATTTGTCCCCTTTGTCTTCAGTACATGTCACTCTGGACGTACAGTTGAAAAACTGGTAGGAAACTACAGTCTGATTGATGATTAAGTGGTTGATTCAATTAGGGATCAGGTGTAAACTTTATCTTCCTTTACATGCAAAAAATCGAAAGCCACAGCAGCTTTGCAACCATAATCACACCCTTAATCTTACTAATTTACCTTTTATATATTTTTGGATATTTTTGATTATATCCAACTACGCTTTTCCTCCAGCTACAACTCAGCAACAAGAAACCTTTAAAAAGGCCCTTAATGCTGTAAACAGGAGTTATATTGTGTCATTTTAATGTTATTCTTATAGAGGGATAGAATGACAGACAAGTATTTCCTTTCCTTATCAGATCATCAGAGTATCAAGACTTTCATTATGTCATGTTGCATCTTTTGTAGACTGTTCATTATCACTCAATTATTAAGTCAGTGGAAATTTAAGTCAGTGGAATTTTAAAATTCTCTCAAAATTATTTTGGTGATACTTTATTTGATTAAAAAAAATCATAAAATGAGCTGATATCCCTGTAAAATTACCATGGGTGCTGTCAGATTGTCGTGGGTTTAGTTTCATCATTCACAGTAGCTCCAGAATGTGTTTCTGGAATATGTTTTTCTCTTTTCTCTTTGCTGCTAGATAAAGTGTTTTGTTTTATTTATTTGTTTTATGTAATCACGACCTGCTGATTGTGCATAATTTGTGTAATTATCAGAATCATCAAAAACGTAGTTCTGGTAATTACATCCAAATGATAATTTTCAACCATTTAAAGCTTACTAATGTTGTAACGAACTTCTGGTGGGAACTGAAACATTATTTATATTCAGTAATCTTTATGACAGTTTTAAAATAGAGCCCAAAGTTTCCAAAGATATTAATAAGCTGCATTTGGAGGAATGTGTTTAAAATTATGCACAATACATCTAAACGTGTCCTTTTGATCGTTTGGAGGTTGTAGTCTGAACAGGGTGATGCAGAGCAGACTGTAGGCCTATTTGGGTCATGCAGTGCGCAAAAGGTTGTAAAACTCTTTAATAATGAGGAAATCTCTGTGGGAACACCCACAGTCATAACCATACACATTTGGCGAGTTGGTGGCAGTCTCGGACAAGGATCAAGTCTTTGGGAAGACAAAACTTCATTTCCCATGGTCCTTTGTTCCGCTTCGTAGTGATGTGAGGTGTGGTGCTAGAATGGCCGTGTGTGTGTGTGTGTGTGTGTGTGTTGCGGACAGTAGGGGGGATCGGTCTGTGCGCACAGACCGAGAAGCGCAAATCCACCTTGGAGCATCTGTGAGCGGAGCACGGGGAGATGCGGACAGCGGTCTGCACCGTTTCTACCAGGTTTCTGAAATCAAGACGGCATGAGTTTGATACCTGAATTGATTCTGTTCACGACTGGCGCTCGGATTTTTTATCACTGAGGGAATCTGGAAATGTAGCGGGACTGAATGGAGAGTCGATAGAACGCGTGAGAGCTGCTTTTCGCCTGTCTGCCTGTAGTCTAATATTACAGACAATAAGGCGAGTAAATTAGTCATTAGAAACGGTGGCATGTCAGTATTTGGTTGATGGTAAATGGTAGAATCTGTGTTATAAGGCACTGTAGCTATTTTTCTTTGTGATATGAACAAGAAGCCATATTAAATTTGTCATTAATTTACAGAGGGTGATATTCAGATTGATTAAAGACCTCATAAAGACGCCCCTCCTGATTTGATGAAAATAACAAATTGTATTCATCCTAAAAGAATTAAAAGGCAATCATGTCAAAAGCTAAGAGCAGTGAGTCAGTGAAGGTGGTAGTTCGTTGCCGCCCCTTGAACCGGAAAGAAGAGTCCAATGGTGCTGCAGGGGGCATAGTGCAGATGGACCTGCGGCTCGGACAGGTGATCCTCAGAAACCCTCGTGCATCAGCCAGTGAGCCCCAGAAAACATTCACTTTTGATGCAGTTTATGATGCAAACTCCAAACAGCGAGATATGTATGATGAGAGCCTGCGGCCTCTCATAGATTCAGTGCTTGCAGGATTCAATGGCACCATTTTTGCGTATGGGCAAACCGGAACTGGAAAGACATACACCATGCAAGGTGTGTGGCTGGACCCAGAGAAACGAGGTGTGATTCCCAATGCTTTTGACCACATCTTCACACACATCTCTCGCTCGCAGTCCGATAAGCAGTATCTGGTCCGAGCGTCCTACCTTGAGATCTATCGGGAGGAGATCCGGGATCTCCTTAATCCCAACCATGCCAGTGCCAAGGCCCTGGAGCTCAGGGAGAGTCCAGAGATTGGGGTTTATGTTCAAGATCTCACATCCTGTGTTTGCAAGAGCATCAAAGAGATTGAGGAGGTGATGAACATGGGCAACCAAGCAAGGGCGGTTGGGGCAACAGACATGAACGAACACTCGTCCAGGTCCCATGCTTTGTTCTTGATCACGGTGGAGTGCAGCCAGCCTGGTCCAGATGGAAGGAAACACATTCGAGTTGGGCGCCTCAACTTGGTGGACCTGGCTGGTAGTGAACGCCAAGCCAAGACCGGTGTCCAGGGAGAGCGCCTGAAAGAAGCTGCTAAGATCAACCTTTCCCTGTCAGCACTGGGGAATGTGATCTCAGCACTAGCAGATGGGCGCAGTGGCCACGTGCCATACCGGGACTCCAAGCTGACCCGGCTGTTGCAGGACTCTTTAGGTGGGAATGCAAAGACAGTCATGGTTGCCACCTTAGGACCAGCCCCCCAGCACTATGATGAGACCCTCATCACTCTCCGCTATGCCAACCGAGCCAAGAACATCCAGAACCAGCCCAGAGTCAACGAGGACCCCAAAGATGCACTACTGCGTGAGTTCCAGAGGGAGATTGCTCGACTCAGGGCCCAGCTCAACCACAGGAAGTGGAGGAGCAAGCAGAAGAAGGAGAGGGTGGATGGAGAGAGCTGGGACAGAGATGGGGATGAAGAGACAGAGTTTGAGGAGGAAGAGGATGTGGAGGTGGAGAAGGAGGCAGAGGAGTATGTGAAGCTGGAGGAGCAGCGGTTGGAGAGGGAGAAGGAGGCCATCAGAGAGGATCAATTTCTTTTGGCTGAGGAGAAGCAGCGGCTGCTGGGAGAGAAGGAGAGGATGATGGGAGATCTGAGGAAGAAGCAAGAGGCTACTGAGCAGCTGACCGCCAAGTACAAGGTGAGAGCTTGAACCTGTGAGACCAGTAACAGGTTGTTTTCTTATTTCTTTGTTCCTTCCCCTCTCTCTTCCTCAATTTGTTCATTCAGCCTAGACAACAATACACACAGTGGTCATACTTGACAAGTTAGACTTATGTATAATTGAGTTTTGCTAGAAAAGCTTTCCATGCGTGTGGGTTAATGACAATTTAAAAGATGTTAAAGACAAAAATGATGGCAAAAATTAATCAAAATAACATGGACCCCAGTGGGTTAATTGATTAGTCAGTTGATAGTCCTACAATTCCTTTAATGCAACCTGATGCCTGTCAGGCTGTCAGACATCACACCCCAAGTTTGTAAAAGGCTTTCCATTAAAAACATGAGGCCTATTATGTTGTGGGCAGTAAATATAAACTGGTTGGCTCAGGACCTTTATTCACCCCCTTAAGACTCCAAGAGCAAGATGAGATAACGCTAATACTTTGATACTGAACACTGTGACTGCATCAGGGTAATTTAGACTTTAGAAAGCTCCTCCAGATCCAAAGAAGACAAAATCTCCATGTACTGTTATGTGTAGTGCAGCCTATTTCAATTTAGTAATGCTCCACTTAAATTCACATTGTGACTCGGTTATGTCTGGACTTGTAGTAGAACTGGTGCTATGTGTTTTTGTGGCTGCTGCTCTTTACCCACACGCTGGTTGGGTGTCTCATACTGTATATCCAGACAGGAACCTTTTTCCCATCACACCTGCATTAATTACTTGCTCTGATTCATGGGCATTTCCAGTCAATAAGTCACTCATGCAGAATCACTGAGTGAATGCAGTTCATAATACTGTAGCTGGAGCCTGGACATGAGACACTACTGGATGAGCTGAGCTGCAGCCAAAGGCCTGAGGGCCTGATGTGAGGATATGAGAGGAGGGAAAAGATATTTTCAGTGTCACCTCTATGTTAACAATAGAACGGCAAGTTTGTAGAAAAAAAAAGAATCCCTGCTGGTGTCCTCTTTTTGTTTCAATTAATGTTTGCTTTATTGAAGTTAGTTCTAGTATAATGCATTATATCAGACAAAACTCTTCATGTTTAAAAGAAAATTTTTAATCAGTTTTACTTGGAATAATTAATCAGGATAAGAAAAAGCAGCTTTATTTGTGTAGCACTTTTCAGCAATTCAAAGTGCTTTACAGCATGCAAAGAAATGTATTAGAAAAACATTTAAAAACAAAAGTAAAATAATATGCAGGATTTTAGTAACAGGATTTCATTTAGGATATATTTCGGATTGTTATGGTAATGATGATACATTACATTATTGTTATTGTTTATTGTATTTGATATTTTTTGCCCTAGCTATCTTTTTTCTTCTTTTTGTTTTGAATATTTAGACATATTCTTATTCAGTTTTCAATAGGGAACAAAACATGTACTCATAAATGGACTGCCAACATTTTTACGACAGTGCTAAATATTTTCAGTAGGCTATTTCTCATAGATAGCTATGTATATACACCATGTCCTGTATTTTTGTGAAGGATAAATTTGCCTTGAAACTGATGACAATACAAGAGTTTTCCTGTTTACTTTATGGAATAAATACACTTAGCAGCACACACTCAAAAGGGTTAAAATAGCTCAAATTGTCAACAAAGCTCTTACGCTGTACTTGTGGTTACCTACTCATACAGTACATTCATTTTTGCCTCATCTCTAAGGTGCAGTATTGTAATGTTCTGAGTGAAAGTATGAGGGCTCAGGAAGTCCCATGAGACTGAGCTGACGTATAGCATATCCTGATCCCGTGCCCTTCAGACCGAGTGCTTTCATGCACTGTTTTGTGTCCGCCTCATATTACTTCACGTCGCATTGTCCGCCAAAGGACCGTGGGGCTAATGCTGTCTTGTGCTAAACCATATAAAATCCTTTCAGAGTTCAGAGGGTTTCAGTGATTGATGCTGACCGGGTGGCTGTTGAGTGATGTCAGTGCAGAGAGTCAGCAAACCTGCTTCTCCTCTCCCCCCAAGGAAGAAGATGATTAGGGAGAGGAATTTCCTGCCTCTGATGCATCTGGTTTTTTGATGGTGATTCAGAGGGAAACCAGCATGAAGGTCTTTGTCGTGCAAGTTACAGGTTAATTTGTTTGTTCTTAGGTGTGAAGGACACATCTAGTGATAACACAGTATGTGTTTTTCTTTTATATCAGTAAATCCCTGAAAGCACATGAGTCACACTGTTGTCCTGGGTTTCTTCTTTACAATGAACCTGGGTACTGTAGTTTGGCGTCAGTCCCACATGCCACATCCTGCTGCTGTAAATACTCACTACTACTGAAAATCGTCCCCGACAATGAAGAACTTTCCTCCCGTTTCAGGAATGTTTGCTAACAACTACAGTGTCCATGGGTGTTTTTAGAAATTGCCCTTTGAAAAATAAAAGCTATATATTTGGTACCTGTTTTTCAAGCTTTACATCTTCATTAGGAAGCAATAGGGAATGTGGTACAGTCATTGAAGAGGGGGGGCTCTGGGTGGAAGCATGAGTGGAAATGAGTTCAGAAATATCCAAGATATTATCGGAGTCCCCTCTCCCTTTTACCTCTCTGAGACAAACACAGAGGCACACACAATAAATACAAGCAGGTCAGAAACCACTCTTGTGAAGCTGTGTTGGGTCAGCTGGTCTTTCCGCAGGTGCTGTTAGTTAACTGGCTCCAAGGTACATGACTCCATCTGTGGTTTTTTATCATGTTGGCGCAACTGTTGTTTAGCTGGAGGTGCAGCCTAAATGACAAAATGTAATGTGAGGCATCCTATTGGCTTTGCAGGCAAAGAGACCAGCACAAAATTCCACAATATCACAGGCTTAAACCCAGCTTTTGTCCTTATCTTTGTCACCTTCTTGTTTTCACCATTTCTCTTCTGTTGTAATATGTGAAAAAGCCGAGACAGATTTACAAAGTGAGGTTGTTGAGCAGGACAAAAGAGCGGGCTGTGCTCATTCTTCAGTTAAAAAAAGACATTGTTAGGTATTTTTAGTCAGATAGATACTTTATGTATTAGAAATGTTTAGTGGAGATAGGATGTCTAGTTAGACTGTTAAATGCTTAGTCATGCTTATGAGTTTCTACAGGGTACATCTGGTCAAGGATAACTAGAGAGAAGAGCTGATGACTGTCAGCAGACAGGGTGTTTAATATTATTATTATGACGTGTATAACTGTAGCCTTAGCCATAATATGTTCTTATGTTTAAGTCACGACATGTACTAGAGGTCGTGAGAATGTTTTTAGCTACACACCACTTAATCAACAGACACACACA